TGATTATTAGTCACCAGTCAGGCCTGTATCAAAAGTAGCAGTGATTATCTTCTAATAGAAAAATAATTTTATAGTTTGTGGTCCGTGTGTTTGCGTTTCTGCATATCGTGTCTCAAATGGACAACATAAAACCCTAGAATGAACTTGTCCTACTTCTATTACATCTTCCTCTGTGGCAATCTTCCTTGGAACAAACCCTTGATTTTCTGCAAATACCAGTGCTAGAAAGCATACAAAAGGCATGTGATCTGTCAACCTGTATATTATGCAAATTGCTAAGAACAGAATGCTTCCATTTTGAAAAAAAAATCTTGCCAAAGTTCAACAGATGGGAAACAACCTCTTGAAACATGAAAATAATTCTAACCTTTACCTAAAATTTAAAAAAATGAAAAAATTCTGATTATGAACTAATTCTCGCACATTCTCATTGTTGTAAGCTAAATGTGGATCCCAATAAAGTCAAAGTCAAATCTATTTTAGGAGGGCAAATCACTGCCAAAAAATTATGTGAAACCAATGAACCAAATTCATACTCATTTACATTTATTTATTTATTTACATTTAAATTTATTCCCACCTGTTTGATCTGACCACCACTGCGGAGGAAGGCGTGGACGGACAACATCTGCACGAAGGGTGGCCGAACAACCTTGAACGTGCCGTCGATGTACCAGCAGCGCGTCCTATAGCAGGGATGTCGGAACGGAGGAAGTCATCCGGAATGAAATGTTCGTTCAACTCAAAGTTCATGAGGTCATTTGGCTCCTCGGGTCCCATCTTCGCCTTGGCCCTGTTGACCCGGCGTAGCAGTGCGGCGTGACTTGGCATCCCAGACTGGTTTCCAGCCTCCAGGAAGATGTCGTCGGCCATGTTCGATGACCGGTTTACCAAAATGAAAAAAGAAGGAAAACTAGACAAGAGAGACAGGAGATTTCTTAACTATTTTGCTGGCTCGAAGACTTGGTCTATTGCCCTTTTCTTCAGCTCCACACTGATTCTGGCATGTAGACACCGCGGCTGCACCATAAGACAACATAATAAGATTATGATGTTGGACAATATGGTTATCCTTGAGCTCGTCCCAGTCCGTTTGCCACTTGGACGGGTCCCGAAGAGCTCGCTGTATGTCGGCACGGTGGAAGGCTCGGACGGTGGACCATGTGTAACGTGTGAGTCAGTGGCACACAAACTGCAACAGTTTCAGCCTCCCACGGTGTTCCCAGTCTGGCAAGTTCGGAGACAAGAATAAGGCCCATGTTAGTAGCCACTCAGGAATTCTTCCTACGTCAATTCGTCGTACTTTGTCGTCTCAGCGAAGTCGTAAGAGAACACGAAAGTTTCCGTAGAGAGGATCGATTGGCTTACCTTTCCCTGGCTTGACTGGTGCGGCAATCGCGTCGAACTTGGCTCCACAGCGTGCTACAAATAGGGTGTTTTGGCGTAGTTGTTCCAATGTGACGTCGCTTTGCCCGAGGTCAGTGGTAGGTGAGCCGCCCGAAACAGCTCAAGTCCTTTTCCAGCACAGCCACTTCTGGGGTAAACTTGAGCGGGTTGAGTACCATCATATGGCAGCGGCACGAGGAATGTCCTTCAAAGACTCCGGTCGTAGATGCACCCCAACTTGTCCGCCAATCTGGAAGGCTCCAGGCCGCTTATGAACAGGTTAACCCCGGCCATTTCCTCTCTCCTGCCCATCGGTATTTGGGTATCCATACATCAACAACCCCCGCAGTCGGATCTCATAATACGTTAGGGTTTCTTGCGGCATCTGATGGAAGTGTATGAGCTAAGCTAATTCAAGCTGGGTGGAAGGTAGTTAGGTGTAGGGTAGTTAGGTCTGAAAAATGGCATGTCTGTTGTAGAGGGGTTGGCCATGGATATTGCAGGTGGGGCACTAGAAGTGACAGTGGTGTTAGTAGGTGGAGCACTAGAAGTGGCAGTGGCAGTGGTGTTAGTAAGTGGGTCATCACTAGATCTTGCAGCGGTGCTTGTAGGACCGGGGTTCGTGTGCGCCAGATGCTCTTGTAAAATTGCGGGGATGTCCTCTGATGACAGTAGGTTGCCATTGTGCTGCATGTCTCCTACAGGGCATATCATAAGGATATCATCAGTTAACAAAAGATGTTATTTGTTAATCCAAATTCCTTTAAAGTTGAAATAGTTTCTCTCATATGAATAATATATGCTAAGAGTGGAGAAAGGAGCATACCATTTGCTGTTGTTATTGCAATCCGACTGCCACCAGAGCTGGTTAAGACTATGGCTGGGATGGAGCCCTCCCGGAGATTTTGTTGTGTCATAACTGTAAGACAAAATAAAGAATTCAATTTCTACATGCAGACAACACATGTGCCTTATCACAAGTCTACATTATAGACATAGATGTCATATGGATAGATTTAGAAATATTGTGACAATAAATGGGGTCTTGTGGCGTAGCGGTAGCGTCTTAGGGTCGGAACCAAGAGGTCCCGGGTTGGAACCCCACCATGTCACCGATCTCGTGGCCCTGGGAAAGGCACTTTAAACGACTTCCCTCACTTCACTCAGGTGTAAATGAGTATCTATCTTTGGTTAGGGACGTCCCTCAGATAGGACCCGTGTTTGGGGAGAGCCACATGCACGTTAAAGATCCCATCACACCTTTAAAAAAAGAGTAGGGGTATGCCCCAGTGTGCGATGGTGCAAATATTTATCTGATTATTCACTACGGACTCCTTGAAGAGTATTTGTGAAATGCATACTAATGGAGATCCTAAACAAACAAACAAACAAACAAGTGTGGAGATTGTCTTTCTCTGTTTCCAACATAATACTAAAACAATCAAAGTCATAACAAATGATGGAAATTTCGCGTGCATTACCAGCCTTGATGCAGTTGTTAGACAATTAAAGCAATTTTCGTGTCCTGAGTTGTTATCTCTCATAAAACTTTGTTAATATAGGGTTTGACTTACATAGCCTTCCACCTGGCGAATTGGCCATCAGATGAATGTGAACAGGCTGCTGGGGACCATTGAGAAGTTCAGAGAATGATGAAGAACTGGTGAACCTAAAAAAGCTGTGAACACATGTCCAGTTTTAGTTAGACTGATTTTGTTTCTTCTCAAGACAGAAAGTGCATATATATTTATATAAGGCCACACCAATTTAATTTGTTGGTTATTTATGGCCGGCAGATCTGCATAGAGCCGCTTGAGAGTAGTCGCCTGTGCTGTTGTCAAGGCCAGACCTTCCAGTTCCAGGAAAGCTCTAGCCAACCTGTCCACTTTCTCCCACCCGGGGATCCCCATCGAGTCCAAGGACTCCGTGCCAGCAGTAGTTGTTACCTACAAACAGAAGGAAAACAGAAGGGAAAAAAATTATTACTAACAAAAACATAACCATTAAAAATTTTGCCATTAAATTAATCATTAATCTAGCATATTTCATTGTGCTACATTTGGTGAGTCGCACAGTTTACATGTGTCAGGGGTTAATTGCAATCAAAGCAAAAACTATTGTCTGGCATATGCATATTGAATATTCCTAAATGCAATGCTACAATTACCATACCTCCAATTACATGTACTAAAAGGTTCACTAACCATCTTTAAATTCCACAATCACGATACATATAGATTTACACAACACACCTCATCATCACTGCTGTCACCACTCTCGTCTCCCGGGAGCGCCATGATTGTGGCAAAGTCTGGATGGTCAGAGGGCAGTGGCTCCAGCTCCAGGGCCAAGTCCTCCTCCACAAAGCCCTGGTCTATGGCTGCATCCAGCTCCTCCTCTTTCACAAAGAATGCCTGTGCATTTTGAGCATACAGGTATTCCACCCCAATCAGTTCTCCTGTGTACTTCATAGGAGGCGTGATCTTTGTTAGGACTTCCTTGTTGTGGATTTCCATCGACAGGTTGTTTACTTTGAGCTGCAGCTGACTGTCGAAGGTCCTGCTGTTATTGTCCTCGCAGTCTATGGCAGCGTCTGCTCTGGCTTTGTTCTACCTGGTCATGCCTTCCACCAAGTATGCCTGGAAGTTTACAGCACTGGCTGATGTTCCAGGGATGAACCGGTTCAGGTGGAGATGAAATGACTCCAGGGATGTAGTCCCTCTCCCAGTTCGGAACACTGGAACTGTCACCCCACCCTTCTTGATGTTGCCGGTCCAGGTGTAGAGTTCTACTCCTGGTGGATCCTGGATGCACTTCACATGTTGTTTTTGTTGTGTCCAGATGTCCGTCATCTCTGGTCTGAAGAGGGGAACACCTATGGTGTCAGTTGCGGTGGAGAAAGAGAGGATAAGCTCCTCTATGGCTTCAATGGTTGACTCCGTTCCCCTTGTTCTCCTTCTACAGTGCTTGGCCAATTCATCTTTGGTTATAGCTTTCTTCACTGCTCCTTCAGGAGGGTTTGGGATTCCACTGGCGATCAGTTCTGCTTCTTTTGCATGCAGTAGTTTGGCGTAGTCATCTTGTGACCACTCGAAGATGCAACTGGACAGTTGTGTCATGAATGTGCCATACAGGGGGTGTGCCTCACTGGTGCAACCAACAGCAATACGCCGCATGTAGTGCCAGATGTCCAGGCGAACTTCGAGGCCTTCCCACTCAGAGAACAGCAACTGGAACCTTGACGGGCCGCTGACAGCACAACAGTCCCTATCGGTGTATAGAAGAACTGGAGGGTCTTGGCCTGCATCCCTGTATCTCTTCATTAGCCCACTTGCCATCGCCTCTAGGGCATCCTTTCCTTCTGTGGTTGTAAGCACAGACTGAAGGACCTGGCCCCGTTCGTTCCCTATGTTGGTTGACCACTCTGCAGTGCCTGCACTTTCTCCCTGTAGCTTTCTGCAGACTTTCTTGGTAGAGTCGATCTTTAAGATGTTGCCAAAGGTCGATGTCAGCGCAGCCTTGAGGGCTGGCAGCCTCATGTAGATACCCCTCACATATGTGGCCAGAAACCAACGTGGTTGTGGAAATGGTGGGAAAGATGGGGCCTCATCATACCCAAACTCCTCCAAACCAAAGCTTCCAAGGCGCTTTCTGTGTTCCTTGCAGGCAGACAGGTAGTACACCTGCTTCCTGAGCCATTCTTCAGAATGCATCTCCATGACTGTGTTCCTCAGGGCTGTAGAGCTGTTACCTAGTGTCCTAGATCGCAGCAGTGCCACCACGTTTCTGTCACACGCGTATTTGCGTGTTAGCAAAGCTGGAAACTTCATTTTCAAGTGGTCTGGCAGCTGGTGTAGTAGCCTTGAGTCCCAGGCTGGAAATGTTCCCCCACAGTCAGAGCACGTGAGGTATTCCGTGCAGAGGTAGTAGTAATCGGTGGTGTCCAACACGAGCCTGACCCGGTTGTAGGTGCCCTTACCTGTCAAGGCTCTCTTCGGACAGTTGGGGCAACGGAAATCAAACAAATACATTCTACGTGGCATCCAGAGGAACATCCGTCTGAGAAAGTACAGCTCTGGCTGGGGTTTGGTCTGACCGTCTGCCTTCTTCAGTGGAGGGTGATACCAGTGTTGAAGTGTTGGAGATAGCTGTCCTGGTTTTACAAACAAAGTTTTGCCCAACCACTGTCTGTCCTCAGGTCTGACATTTTTCTCCCACCCTTTCGGAAGTCTTTTCCCATAGTCTGTTGGTTGTTTCTGTCGTTTGTCTGCTACTTTCTCCTGCAGGGTGTGGAGCCCTGATGGTGCACGTGTGGTGCCTTGTTCCTGCTGCAGGGTCTTTGCTGCTGGTGTGGTACCCTGTTGCTGATACACGGACTTTGCTGCTGGTGTGGTACCCTGTTGCTGATACACGGACTTTGCTGCTGGTGTGGTACCCTGTTGCTGATACACGGACGACTTTGCTGCTGGTGTGGTACCCTGTTGCTGATACACGGACTTTGCTGCTGGTGTGGTACCCTGTTGCTGATACACGGACGTCTTTGCTGCTGCTGGTGTGGTACTAGTACCTGGATACATATATTCTCCAAACTACTGAGCAGGGCACCCTCCAATCTGGTTCTCTTCTTCTATTCTACTTTTCTGTAGCCTTTTAAAAGAGATTTAAATAGATTATTGGTAAGAAAGGTAAAACATTATTCTTTGGTAGTATATTTATCAGGCATTAAAAACTGATGTGGCAATACCTTATACAGTATCATGAAAAGCCAGTCTCTTTTACACCGATAATAAATACTTTACCCTTCTTTCCGCTCTGGCTGGTCTTTCCCCCTTGGCCCTCCTTTCCTCCTTCCCTTGCCTTTCTCTTGTTACCTACAACATGCAGATAAACATTCAGCATTTAACAATAATAAAGAAACCATAAGTCTTATATAAAAAAATGACAGGAACCATTACAGTTGGTGCAACTTTAAATGTACAGTACCTGCTGGATTCTCTCTCCTTTCCTCTGTCCCTGAGTGGTCTAGATCTATACAAAAGATGCGAGCAGTCAGAGACTCAGTAGTGTGTTATTTTTTCAACTTGTGAAAATGTGTAAGGTACACTCTTCAGCCTTAACCACTTTACAAGGGTCCAACTACAAATCCAAACAAAATTCTAAGCATAGATTTGCTTTGTAAGGTTAAATGAATGACAAAAAAGGAACGCCTGTTGAGGAAGAAGTTTCTCGTGAACTACTAGTATCCGGATCCTGACTGTCCTGACTGCCCGGTGGTGGTGGGGTGGGTCCCCGTGGTGACTCACGCCCATCTCCATCCTGCATGTCAGCTCCATCCTCCTGCATGTCAGCTCCATCCTCCTGCATGTCAGCTCCATCCTCCTGCATGTCAGCTCCATCCTCCTGCATGTCAGCTCCATCCTCCTGCATGTCAGCTCCATACTCCTGCATGTCAGCTCCATCCTCCTGCATGTCAGCTCCATCCTCCTGCATGTCAGCTCCATCCTCCTGCATGTCAGCTCCATCCTCCTGATCGCCATCCTCAGGCAAGTCTTCTAAATATATGAAAGACACACACATAAGTTTGCATACTTGGACAAAACCAGCAGTACAGAAAAAAATCTGTAAGATGAGAAGTTTTTTGCCATACCCATGTCTTCATCTAATCAATGGGTATACACAATATGTATATACATGTATACAGAAAGTAAACAACATTCTCTAAAATTGTTATGCAACAAAAACCATAGATAATAATGATAGGAGGATTTTAAATTTATAAAACATTTTATCTAAATGATTTTAAATGGTCATTCCATGGAGGTAAACCTCCACGGCCATACACACGATGTTATAAAATTCTTATTCGAGGTCCACATTATACAAAGGGGCCCACCCCCCTCCCCCATAACAAGACAGTTCCTTCATATTTTGAATCACGCGTAGAAAAATTTGACGATAAACAGTGCAGGACTCACCAGTATCTTGCGTGGATTCCAGGAGGGACCCTGGCTCGGTGGCCTCTCTCCTCCCGAGGAACCGATTGAGTTAGGCAAGGTTGCGATGAGCTTTGAAGACATCAAAGATGGCCAGCCCGGGATGGTCGGCGGTTAGCCCGAGCTGACTCCGCTCGGTGTCCATGTAGGGGATGAGAATCTTCTCCGTGTAGCGGATCATGGGGTTGTCAGTCAGCTCTCGTAGCTCTTCGAAGGCACGCCGGACGTGCTCAGCCGGCAAGAAGTGTAGTACCATGAGTTTCCTCATCAGCTCGTACGTATACGCCCCCGCCTTCTCATAATAGGCCGACTGGAGTCCTAAACTACGAAATGGAAGTATACTTTAGAGTTGCTATTCAAAATACATCTGTGCATAAATTCAAAACATTAAAATGTTTACTTAATTTTGACATTCAAAATACAAAACATTGAACATGTCATGCACAGCCCTTCCTGCTGCACGTAGGGAAGACGGCTCTCACCGCCCCCCGCATCCCCTCCTCGAAGTCCATACCGTCCATACCAAAGTTCTCAACCCGAGGGTCCCTGGGCAGCAGAACGAATTGCATCCATCAATCCACAAAATTAAGCATTTGTTTTGAAGCAAATCCTACAAAATCCACGAAAATAAGCATTTGTTTTTAAGTAAATCGTACACTACTTCTGTGTAGTCTGCTTTCTCTCTTCGGCTCATCAGGACGAAGACGAGGGAGACTTGCTTGCCGGATGAACGCGTACAAGAACTGCGTGAGCAGGGCGGCAGTACGACGAAGAACGTCCCGTCACAATACCAGGTCTTGGCCAGCTGGTGGTCATTGGCAATCCTCTTTTGACGCCCGACAGCTCAGCGGGAGTCCCTGACAGCTTCAGAGCGTGTATAGAGCCAACCTGTCGATACGTCGGGAAAAATCTAGGTCATGGGTTGCATATAAATTTCCGTATTTCGACGCCATATTTGTTGTTTGACGCTCTGTTTTGATACAGTTTTAGCTTTAATATATAGTACCGGGTAAACTAAACGGAATACATTTACCTTTTCTGTCTACGGTAGGTTCTGGGATACGGCAATATTCTGTGACGGTGACGTAGTATTCTGTGGATGTGTTTACGGTCCGCGGCCTACTGTATGGGCCGCGAGCAATGAATTTGAAGTTACAGGTAGAATACAAGTACTGTAGATGCTTCCTCTCGCTATTCGTGTGTTTATTATAAGTCCTGAAATGCCCAAAACGTTTTAGGGGATGACAAACTCCGAGCAGCAAGTTCCCCTGACCTACACATCCGCGCGAAGGTATATCCGTCTGGGATGTAGTCCCGATTCAACTCGAAAGTTTTACAATATAATTTTCAACTTCTACAAGTCCAAATCATTGACTGAAAAAAAGAGTTAGCACACATCTCCACTCCTGTGGTGGAAGAATAACAATATGCTACATAATGGTACAGGTAAATATTATCCTTTAGAATTTCATTTGCACCTCTGGGACAGCCCGGAGGTGGAGGTGGCACACATCTGCTCGATGGCACTGACATCACCCTCCACTCCTCCTGTGGTGAAAGAATAACAATATGCTACATAATGGTACAGGTAATATATGTACATGATTACAGTCAATGAATGTTATATAATAATAATATATCCGACTACATTGTAGTTACACAAAATTTAAGATATGTTTTACACTTAAAAACACAACACTTACAGTCATTACCGGCAGGTCCTACATCTTGGGTGATATAACCAAACAATGCTCGTCCATCCACAAACAGCTTATGGAAATCTGTGGATCCCATGAACCTGTATACAATGTATATTACATAGTTGTCGAAAACCAATGATAAATAGTTCAAATATGATTTTGCATCTGTGTCTACTTTATATTCAGGGGTAAAGTCCAGAAAGGAGTGTTATTTATCTCCCCAAATACCCTTGAAATACTAGTATGTCCCAGAGTGCATCGTGCTCCCCATTGGTGTCTATGCTTTTGCCCAAGAAAGCTACGTTACAAATCTAATAAGAGAACATTCATTGTTTTGTGTTCTTTGATGTCTTATTAACAATTGGCCTTCTGGGCATCCTTATCGCCCCTCATTCATGTCTAGATGTCTTGGATTTAGGGTGTGGTTTAATATTAATCTTAAACTCTAGTATAGCGTGATCAGAGTCTAATTCAAGATCCACTAGGGATACATGGGATAATTTCTCAGGGGTGTTACAAAAACAAGATCAAGTAAGTTACCATGGTGATTTGATGGGACATAGTTAATCTGCGTCATGTGAAAATCATCAATAACATCAATAAAGGTGTTAACTAGCCCATAACTACTTGTATCTGATGACGTCCAGTCAATCCCAGGTAGATTAAAATCCCCCATTAAGATAACGAACTGAAATTTTCTGGAAATAAGTTCCA